CTGGGCAGATTGTGCCCTTTGCTCTCCTACAGTTCACTGTTCTCGTAAGCACACACCTCCCTGGTATGATTGTTTACCTTACAGGCCTGTCTATCATTTGACTGAAAGTTGAGCATAGGGGTGAGTTTAATTCCAGGCTTGAAGGGTGTCTAAGTCTTGGGGACTCCACCAGTCTCTATTAGACCAGTAAGTCTGATGTTTTTTTTTTTTTTTATGGTTTTGAGTTTTGTTCCACATTTTTTCCCACTTTATCCAGCACCTCCTCTTGTGATCCCTTTCAGGCCAGTCGGCAGCGGTAGCCGGACACCATCTAGTTCTTCTGGTCTTCAGGGTCGTGGAGGCTGGGGTTGACATGGTCCATTGGTCCTTTGGACTGATTGTTGCCTTGGATCTTTGATTTTCTTCACTCTTCCTTGTTCTGGGCCAGCTGGCGGCAGCAGCTCACAGTGGTTTGGCACAGCAGGAGGAACAGCATCCTCTTCCTGGGCCCCCGTGCCACCATGGCCCCGTGTCCTTATTAATTACATCTTAGGAAAAGTGGAGCTGTGTCTAGCACTCACAAGACTGAGGAGGAGGTCTAGGCAGAGGAACTTAACTCAAAATGAAAAATACTGATTTTTAGAGAGTGACGGGTAATCTATATGCCTAGATTTTCACGTTTTAATCAGAATTATTGAATTCATTGGAAAGTGTCAGTCACCATATAAAATACCTAATGTTTCTGATTATGAATATTGAGATAAAACCCTAAACTTAAAGGCCAATGATTTATGAAATTATGTTGGGAAGTAAAAGGACGTTCACTTCCTGAGATTGGGTTTCTGCATAAAGCATACAAAATGAGAGGCTCCCCCCGCCTCAAAAAAGAAGTTGCATTTAATGGGAAACAACTTGGGTGATAGCATGAATAGCAATAAAGACTCTGTACCAATCTATGGAGCTCTGGGGGCATAGTTGGTAAGGAATTTGGCTACTAATCAGAAGTTCAGTGGTTCAAACCCACAAGCTGCTCAGTGGGAGGAAGATGGGGCATCTACTTCCATAGAGGTTTACCATCTTGGAAACCCAATGGGGGTTGAAATGAGTTGGAATTGACTCAATGGCAGTGGGTTTGGGTTTTTTTATTTTTAGTATTATCTATGGTGCTGCCAGGAGCTCTGGTGGCGTAGTGCCTAAGTCATTTAACTGTTAACCAGAAGGCTGGCGGTTCAA